AGAACCATTCAAGACAGAACTTCTTGAACAAATCTAATGAGATCCAAGTGGTTGGTATCTTTAAAGACTCACTTTTGTGCATCATATTTAGAGCTCTGTGCACAGAATCCAGTATGTCCTCTAAGCAATATAAGAGGCTAATTTTTCTCCAAATATAAAAATTCTTTCCAAATCTGTTCCAAAGGGATTTAGCCATGTTATTGATTACTCTTGAATCTTGCTGCTTGGACTCATGAACTGTTGTGAAAAAGTCTCCGGGAGGAGAGCGGGGAGTGTTCGCGTGACACACCTACACACTGCAGCCAACACACTAATGTGTCGCGACACACAGTTTGGAAAGCTCTGATATAAAGGAGTCATGAGTTCGTTATGTGGTGGTCAGACCCTCTTTTTGAGTAGCATGAGCTAAGGTCTGCCCATTCAGTACTGGATTAATAAAGCTTTTTGAACCTATACACTTGTGTCTGCTTCCCTTTCTTTGGGATTTTTGCGCATTCCCCCAGGGAAAGAACTTGTCATAATTTTATGCAACATTATACTATATTTCTATGCTGCCACAGCCAAGGTCTAATGTCTGAGCCCCTCTCTTAGCAACCCTGCACTTCCAACACTTGCTGCCTTCCGGTCACTTGCTAGCTCCCTGCACAACATTTTGAACTACAAAGCCATATTGCCATCTCTTGACATCCATTCCAGGCCTTTTCCAGGCTCAAGCCTGCCACGGACCATGTTGTCTCTGTCTGACAGCTCCAATTTTCTTGGAAGCCTCTAACTCCAGTAAATCTGATCATGTAGATTTAACTTGTCTCCTTATGGATCTTGTCAATTTTGTGCCCCCTTGGCTTGGCATACTATGCAATGAAAATGCCCACACTGCCCTAAATTTGATTGTAGATAAATAATCAGTTATGTAGGATATTGCAGTGCAGAGAGATGCAACCGTCAGCCTAGCAATATATGATGATTTTCTTCTAAACTTATAATAAACACACTTTTAAAAACCTTTTGCTTCCCAGATCTTTAAGGTGATTTCCAGGGCTTTCTTCGGGGGGGGGGGCATTTTGTGAATCTAAGTTGGGCCTCATTGAGGAACACTATTTCAATATGAGTAGGAAAATGAGAGTACCCCTAAATATATTTTAAGGAAAAAAAGCACTGATGATTTCAGATTCGTTATTTCCTTCCCTTTAAACAGGTGCTTGATCTGAAGAAGAGACAGAGGTCTCTGTTTGGTCCTGTTGCCTTATTCATCACGGTATTGATCTCATTAGAGGGATTGTGGCAATGGAATCCTTATTATCTGGAGAATCAGTTGTCGACAGAAAAAAATGTGTACTGGTATTCTTATGAAATTCCTCCTTCCCTGTGCTACTTATTCCATCTATTTTTGAAACTGGCCTCATGAGCAGGAAGGTCCCAAAGGACTAGGAGAGGCGATGTGAGGGCGATCTGGCTACGACATCTGTCACCCCATTGATCGCCAGGGTTAATTCGGCTGATCTGGCTGGCTAGGCGGGTGTCCCCTTCCTCCCTCACCGCTCCATGTGCGTCCCTCCCGAAGCTGCGCGCTCGGTGGAAGAGGACGACCATCCCAGATAGAAGGAGTGTACCGTTCTTCGGTCAAGGGTATACGATAGCTGCGCTCCCCTGCTAGAACCTCCAAACAAGCTCAAAGAGAGGAAAGGGAGGTTTTAAAAAGCTTGATGAATACAATTACTTCCAACTGCAACTGGAGAGGTCAGTTAAATGAGGGACTTAGATAAATGAGCTTTTGTGAAAGCAGCAATGTTTCTGAGCTGCTATTTACAGTGAATAACCTCCTCTCATTCAGGTAGGTAGCCATGTTGGTCTGACACAGTCGAAATAAATAAATAAATAAAATGTCCAGTAGCACTTTAGAGAGTTGGTCTCTAGTGCTACTGGACAATTTTTTTATTATTATTTCAACCTCCTCTCATGTTTATCTTGCATGTTTTCTGTTTTAAAACACCCAGTTGCTACAGTGCCATTGCAGGACATATTTGTTCACGTAGAGACAAACTAGGAGCCATGTCAAATACTTCTTTGTTCATGGCATGTTTGTCCCTGATATATATCTCTTGAAGGTAATAAATAAATAAATAAATAAATAAATAAATAAATAAATAAATAAATAAATAAATTGCAAGACAATTGCTATTTCTTCCTCTTGTCTGAAGTCAGTTTCATGCAGGCCCTGTATATTGCTGTTCTAAGGGTACCATCACAGAGGCTGCCAGGAACTGTATTCCTAAAATGCTGCAATAGTGCTGAACCAATCATAAGTAGTTAATTGCTTGCCCTATTATTTTGAACCTTTGGGATATGTTGGCTTAAAGTATTTGTACTGTGATCTTGATCGGTGAAGTTACGTTTTTGCCCATAAAGACTGAAAAGGTGGGCTTTGTTAGAGTCATGATTGGAGCGCTGTAGTAAGGGACTATCAGACTCTGGTATGTGATCAGGGTAGAGCAGGGGTCTGCAACTCGTGGCCCCGGAGCCGCATGTGGCTCTTTTACACCTTTGCCGCGGCTCCGGGGCGGATACTAGCGAGGGGAGGAGGCACATTGTGCACCCTGACACTCCCCACTGTGGCGGGCGCTGTACTGGCTGTGATGTCGCATGGGGTGGTGCGTGCGTTAGTCACCTTCCCGCCCGCTGTCAGGTCGGACATTAAGGTAAGAAACAATATATGCAGTGTTATATTTGTTTTAAATGTCACAATGGTTTTGCGGCTCCCAGTTTTTTTTTCTTCGGAAACGGGTCCAAGTGGCTCTTTTTGTCTTAAAGGTTGCAGACCCCTGGGGTAGAGGGAGGTTGTGTGATCCACACCCTCTCCACTTCCCTATCCTACTTGTAACATGGGAATCCTCATCATCGGATTTTGATTTGAGACTTCGCGGGACTTGTGCTTGTGTAGCCAAACTGCACAAGGCAGCCACAAGGGAGTGGTATCAGAAGACTGAGGGTAGCCCTGAGGTTTGAAAATGGCAACAAATCTGCCAGCGGGGTGGGGGGAACCGAGGGAACCAATAAACCTCAAAACAGCACCAAAAGAACTCAACAGCAGGGAATATCATGCGGCTGGAAGGGGAAGGGGAGCAGTGGGTGAAAGGGAATGGCTGGAACGGGACAGAGAGCGCATAGAAGGAAAGAACCTTGTCTGGCTTCACGCTGAGAAACAAGTCCTAAATGTCCCCGGGGATGCAAGTGAGAACCGCCCGAAGGAGTCAATGGAGAAATTAATTTCTTTCCATGGAGTTGACTGGCCAGCAGTCTGCACCTTCCTCAAAACACAAATTTCCTGCTACGTCTAACAGTCCTTATTTAGTGTGAACATTTAAAAAACAACACCATGCTAATGCACATTCGAAAGCAAATGTAGCTCATTGTCCTCAAATTCATAGAATCATAGAAATCTAGAGTTGGAAGGGATGCCAAGGGTCATGTAGTCCAACCCCTGCAGTGCAGGAATCTCAGCACCATCCGAGAGAATCTGCCGCCGGTTCCCCGCCCAAAATCACGGCTTCCACTTTTTCCTCTTTCTATGCACAACTCTTTCCCCGACTATGAGCAGGCGGAGCAGGGAGGGGGCGGGTAAATGTTAGTCACAAGCAGCATCCACGTCGAAGGGATGGTCACTCTGCATTCCCCACCCCTCCTGCGTCTATGGCCCAGCTAGCGGCCGCTTACTCAACCCAGCGGAAAGCTCGCCTGCCATTTTGAAAACGGGCAGTTCCCCAGGGGCGGAGTCGCGGGCGAGGATGACGTAGGCGCCGTAGGTGACGCATCCGCCAATGGCTAAGCGGCAATTAAGACTATAGACAGAGGAATCGAGACCATAGATATAGGAAGGGGGAGAATCCTTAAGGAAATAGTCGAACAGCATGACCTTAGAACAAACTCTCAGCTTTGCTTTGTTTCTGGAGAAAGACACCCCTCTGCCTGTTCGCATGTACACCCAAGTCCAGTGTCTTTTATAGGTAGGGCTTTTGTTTTTTAAAAAAACTTTCGCGACTTAAAACACGGCTCTCCAAGCGGGCGCCGAGCAGAGCTCTTACGACGTCACTGGTGTGCGCCGCCTCAGCCTCCGCCATCTTAGTTGCGGGCAGCCTGCCGCTGAGGTGTCCTTTCAGCGGTTCCGCCAAACGGGCTGAAAGCGGCGGAAGGGACCGAAGCGAGGCTGGCGCTGTCAGGTGGGGCCGCCGGGGTGAGGGCCTGGCCCTTCGGGGGCTGCGGGGGGGGCGGGCGCTCTTAGTTGCGGGGTCCCGGGCTCCCGGGGCGGGGAGGGACCGGGCAGCGCCGGGCATTTGGGGCCTACGTGTCCTCCTCTCCGACGCGGCAGCCCGTGAGCCTTCAGGCGGGCAGCCACACGACAGGATGCCCCTCCGTGGCCCCTTCTCCCCGCGCCTAGAAAACTAGCAGGCCATGGCCGCTTTCTCCTTTACATGCTAGCTTTCTACGTGCAGAGGGCATTGCGTGTGGAAGAAAGAGGATTTACTCCTGTAAAACACATACTGTACCTGCTCTCTCAACTAGTAAAGGTAAAAGAACTAGTACATTTAGGGTATGTTGAATATTTCAGCTTTCAAATTCTGAAAATGAGGGGTGCCAGAAAGTTGTAGCGTGACTTGGGAATTCAAAAGCTATTTTGGTTAAATTAATATAATTTGATTTTGCTTGGTAAGCGAAATGTGTATAAGCAGTAGTATTTTCTGGGGGGGGGGGGGGGAAGAGGCCAGAACTCACTGTGAATGCCTCCCGTGTTTTCTTAGAATGGCAATGGCCCCCACCTGAGAGGGGCCGGAACTGATTTTTGGTGAGTTCCAACTGTGTGTAAGATTGCATAAAAATCATTAAAAATGACACTGAAGTACTTTCAGTTATATATTCCACATTCTCTGACATTTTCAGAAAGTAATATTAAATTTCTGTGGTTTTCCCTGAGCACTTTGTGTTTTTTTAATCAAACATAGACTTACCAAGTTAAATGTTGTCCAGTCACAAAAATGACAGCAGATTCAAATTCATCACACCCAAAAGTTCTATCCTTGGCCCGTTGTTGTTCAAAGGTCTTCATAAACGACTTGGATGAAAGAATTGAGGGGATGCTCATCTGATTTGCAGTTGACACCAAACTGGGAGGGATAGCTAATACTCCAGAAGACAGAATCAGAATTCAACATGACCCTATCAGATTGGAGAACTGGGCACAAGCTAACAAAATGAATTTCAATAGGGACAAATGTAAGGTTCTGCACTTAGGCAGATGCATAAATATAGGATGGGGGACATCTGGTTTACTAGCAGTACATGTGAAAAGGATCCAGGGGTCTTGGTGGACCACAAGCTTAACATGAGTCAAAAGTGTGATGCAGCAGCAAAAAAAGTGAATGCTGTTCTAGGCTGCATCAAGAGAAGTCTAGTGTCCAGATCAAGGGAAGTAATAGAACCCCTCTATTCTGCCTTGGTCAGACCACACCTGGAATACTGTGTCCAGTTCTGGCCACCACAATTTAAGCAGGATGTTGACAAGCTGGAACGTGGGCAGAGAAGGGCAGCCAAGATGATCCAGGGTCTGGAAAGTAAGCCTTATGAGGAGCACTTGAAGGAGTTGGGTGTGTTTAGCCTGGAAAAGAGGAGACTGAGAGGAGATATGATAGCCATCTTCAAATATCTTAAGGGCTGAAACATGGTGGAAGGAGCAAGCTTGTTTTCTTCCTGCTCTAGCTCTGGAGGGTAGGACATGAACCAGTGGCTTCAAGTTGCAAGAAAGGAGATTCCGACTAAGCATTCGGGAATAACTTTCAGACATTAAGAGCTGTTCAGCAGTGGAACAGACTCCTGCGAGAGGTGGTGGACTCTCCTGCCTTGGAGGTTTTTCAGCAGAATTTGGATAGCCATCTGCCATGGATGCTTTAGCTGAGATTCCTGCATTGCAGGGGGTGGGACTAGATGACCCTTGGGGTCCCTTCCAACTCTAAGATTCTACAGTTCTATGAAAAACATATTTTAAAGACCCCTCAGTGAAGAAATTTGCCAAAATTAAGTTTCACCCCCCCCTAAAATGGCATGCCCTACTAGTACAACCCAGATAGAGACAGGACTCTTTCTCTTTTCTTTCTTTCTTTCTTTGGGGGGGGGGAGGAGCAATACATTTTTATTTTCAATAACATGATCAGGAAAACAGAAATGAAGCCCCACCTGAGGTGTTAATAATGACCATGGTACAGCTTGAATTAGCACATCTTTGTTGCCAAGCACAGACATGCCAGAGATTCGCATGTCCTCCCTGTGAATGTTCCTGTTCCATTATGTGGAGTAAGGGGCCTTTCTGCCTGCAATTTTATGTGATATAAGTGAAAACAAGTGTTTCATCTAATGGGGTCCTCCTTTGAGAGTCCTTTCATCACTCTTCCTGTAGTTGACCCTCCTTTGGCAAGAGCTATGCCTCAGGGAGGATGTGGCTACTCAGGCAGGGAGGCAAAATGGACCTTTTTTGTTTAGATGCTGTGTATCTTAAATACTGTGGACAGGCAGCTGTGGGGAGCACTGTTTGCCCTGGTTCTCCGCTTGTAAGCTTTATTGAAGGATCAACCTGCAATGGGTGTTGGTCCAGAGGGATGTGTGGTATGAATGGGAAAGGATGGGAAAGGAAGTTTCTCTGGTGATAAACTTGAGTCTTGCTGTGCGTTAATAAGGCATAGACAAAGATGTGTGATACCTTGTTCAGAGAGGTTTGGACACTAGCTCATACCAAGTATTACTCAAAAGTTAGCCTTGCTGATTTCAATGGGATCTATTTCCAGGTGAGTCTGATTAAGATTGCAATCTTAAGCACCTGTCAAATTGCTACTATGGATCTATGGCTCCAAATAGTTGTGAACAAATTTGTTGTCTGTCTTTGCAGAAACATTGCTATTCTATGGCGACTTACCTGGAGTTTATTCAGCAAAATGAAGAGCGTGATGGGGTGCGTTTCAGCTGGAACATATGGCCCTCCAGCCGACTGGAGGCCACAAGAATGGTTGTCCCACTGGCCTGTCTACTGACTCCTTTGAAAGAAAGATTAGACCTGCCGCCTGTCCAGTATGAGCCAGTATTATGCAGCAGACCAACTTGCAAAACTGTACTTAATCCACTTTGGTATGACTTTCTTTAACATCTATTGTTTCAGTGGAGCCATATTTTGTTAGTGACCTTATTCTTCAAAGCTCAAGACTGCACATTTTTCTTAAAGTAAAGAAAGCCCTAAATTGGAGTTTTGTAATTTAAACATACAGTATAGCAGATTCTTCCATGTCCTATCGGCAAGCCTGTGTGATACATTAAGATTGTATCATGATCCATTAATGTTAAAACTGGGTTGGTATACCCAAAGTACATTAAGAGAAGGGAGAATATTATTTTGGGTCAGAGGCACTGTATTGCTCCCAGTATTGAGGGGGCCCAGCGTTGCACACCTGTGAAGTCATAGGTGTGGCGCACATTGCGTGCATGTGACATCACACACACAACGCGTGTGCATCATCGGGAGGATATTGAGCATGGAGCCCAGAGCCTTGTGGCTTCAGTGGCTGGTGGCTCCTCCTGAGTGGTGGACACTGATTCTGTTCCACGCACAGCCTCTTCCGCTCCTCAACATTTGGGGGCTTACCCCCCTGCCAACAAATATTGAGGGGGCCGAAGACAGCTCTGTGCCTAGGAGTTGGTGCCTCTGTTTCCGATGCAAACCTTAATCATTCAAGCAAGTAAGCCCTGCAGTATGCATGAGAAGTGTCAAAACTTAGAAACCAGACACTCTATCCTAGGCAACACAATTGAACCAGGTAGATATTTGGGCCATTGTGTTGTAGTTAGAGCTCCGGATTGAAAAGTAAACTTGGAACCTCAGTATTTTTTATATAAATTTAATAAGCCTAATACAGATACATAGTTAGCTGTGGTTTCATAATTGGATTATGGGACTGAGTGTGTTTTTTCTCTGTCCTTTTCTTCTTGTTTGTAAATTGCCTCCCCACAAAAAGTCTGGCTTTTGCGTTATGTGTGAAGTAAACCTGGGTATTCTCTTTAAATGTAATTGGAGAATCCTGATCACAAGTAACACTGAACCTAGCTAGAGAGGATTGGGAAAGAATCCAGGCATGGTAGGCAAGAGAAGCAGAAGCACAATCCTGTCACACACACCCAAAACCTAAACACTGACTGGTTGTATGTATGGCATTGGAGTCACAAGGATACTATTTATTTTCTAAGACAAAGCAAATGTAAGGAAACAGGTCTGGCAGTACTTACTCTTGTCCAAAGGCTAACAGGCTAAATGAAAGGGCAAACAGCAAGCCTGAAAAAGTGTCCCACTCCAGGGAGGGACACACAGATGCCTTGACCTTTGCCAGTCAAAATAGCTCTCCTTGTTGAGGAACCACTTGCTGAAAAAATGTACATTTGCCTAATTGGCACTAATTGAAAGTACTCTTATTGGCTACTAGCAACTGAAATGAAGAGTTTAAAGTTGGCTTTTATGAGGTAATGCCAGTAGTAGAATTTTCTCTTAATATCATTAGTTTTGTTATGTCATATGTTTACCTTGAGGCTATGTATCAAAGACCTAATACCAATTATTTGAGAGAGAAATGGAGCACCCTGACATGTATTCCCTTAAAGCCCAAGTTTGATATATCACAAGGATTTTAACAACTTTATTTCTTTTTTACAGTCAAGTTGATTACCGAGCCAAGCTTTGGGCTTGTAACTTCTGCTTTCAGCGAAACCAGGTGGGTTACATCTTCACTAACTTAACTCTCCCATTTGCCCAGATCAATACACCTTTTTAATGTGTACTGCGAATGTACAACTTTGACCAGTGACGTTGACAAAAATGCTGCATAAAAACTTTTAGTTTCTGTTATTGAGCTGTCATCAGTATTTGCCATGCATTTGGTTGTCTTTATGAACCAGGTGCATCATTATATGTTGCCTTTATTAGTCAAATGACAGTGGCTCAATTCAGACATAGCAGCAAATTCTGGTTCATAGTTTAGAATCATAGTTTAGAACGTTAACTGAAGCTTGAGCTTCTAAACCTACAATAGGAAAACTGTGTTTCAGAGGTGCTTGACTGCTTTCATTTTCCAGCTGCTCAGCACACTGGGCTCAAGAAGCGTTGATCTCCAATAGTCAATTCATACATCATGCCAGACCAGGAGTTTGCACAAACCATAATTTGCAAACACATTCCCAATCATGTCAGTCAGATGTCCTGTTAAATCAGACATACGTTTGGTGTTAATAATGATTTGGTGTGATGTCTGAATTGAGTTTGTAAGTTACCTTGGCCAACCACTTGAGCTAGTTTGCAAATCCTGTAGCCTGATTACCAGTTTAATCAGAAATTCATCCCAAATTGGCAGCTGTTACTTTTTAGTAGAATGTGTAATTAAATTCTCATTTTTTATTGAAATATAATCGCTTGTATATACGTTGCATTACAAGTGAGCTTTGACATATTTTGATGTATGTCCTCATCTTTGGTGTGTTTCTCCAGTTTCCTCCAGCCTATGCAGGGATATCTGAAGTGAATCAACCAGCAGAGCTTATGCCACAGTTTTCCACAATTGAATATATAGTCCAGGTAATCCTTTGTATGCTGTGTTTGAAACTCCACTGTGTTTACTTTAGTATCTCTGTGACAGTAATCTTAAAGTGTTTAGACTATGGTTTTCTGTAAGGAAAAAAGGAAGTATTCTATTGTATATACTTCTATGTGGTAAATAAATGTTTTTCCTCCCACACAAGCGTGGTCCTCAGACACCCCTGATCTTTCTTTATGTGGTGGACACATGTTTGGAAGAGGAGGACTTGCAAGCTTTGAAGGAGTCGCTACAGATGTCTCTGAGTTTGCTGCCTCCTGATGCTCTTGTAGGCTTGATAACTTTCGGCAGAATGGTACAGGTTCATGAACTGAGCTGTGAAGGCATTTCCAAAAGTTACGTTTTCAGAGGCACTAAGGATCTAACTTCAAAACAAATACAGGTATGCTTTGCTTTAACTTTTATATAAAAAACCCCCTAGCCCAACCTTGTCTGCCCCTCAAAAATGATTTTAAAGTGCAGTCTTCTGG